TCATAATGGAATGAAATTGAAAATCAACCACAAAACAAAGGACAAAAAATTCTGCATCACATGGAAACTGAACAATATGCTAATGAATGAACAATGGGTTACAGAAGACATCAAGGAGGAGATTAAAAATTTTTAGAGATAAATGAGAACACAGACACAACATATCAACAATCTCTGGGACACTATGAAAGCAGTACTAAGAGAAAAATTCTTTGCATGGAGTTAATTTTTTAAAAGAAAAAGTCAACAAATAAATGACCTCACACTACATCTCAAAGCCCTAGGGAAATAAAAAACAAATCAGCAGCAAAAGCAGTAGAAGGCAAGCAATAATTAAAATCAGAGCTGAAATCAATAAAATCAAAACAAAAAACAAATTAAAAATAGACAAAATTAAAAGTTGGTTCTTTCAAAAAATAAAAAAGATTGACAGACCATTAGCCATGATGAAGACAAGGAGAGAGAGAACTCAAATCACCAGCACAAATGATGAAAAAGGCAATGTCACAACAGACACTACATAAATACAGAAAGCAATTAGAAATTTTGTTGAAATCTATACTCTAATAAAATAGAAGACAGTGAAGGCATTGATGAATTTCTTAAGTCACATGATCTGCCCAGATTGAGTCAGGAAGATACACAGCAAAACAGACCAATATCAAGTGAGGAAATAGAACAACCCATCAAAAGACTACCAATCAAGAAAAGCCCAGGACTGGATAGATACACAGCCGAGTTCTATACAACCTTTAAAGAAGAACTAATACTGATACTCTTCAATTTATTTCAGGAAATAAAAAAAGAGGGAGTACTTCCAAACTCATTCTATGAGGCCAATATCATCCTGATTCCAAAACCAGACAAAGACTTCAAAGAAAGATAACTTCAGACCAATATCTCTAATGAACATAGAGGCAAAAATCTTCAATAAAATTCTGGCAAATTGAATACAAAAACATATCAAAAACATTGTGCACCATGAACAAGTGGGATTCATCCCAGGTATGCCAGGTTTGTTCAACATATGGAAATCAATAAATGTAATTCATCACATCAATCTACTTAAAGATAAGAATCATTTGATCATCTTGATAGACACAGAAAAAAACATTTGACAAAATACAGCACCCCTTTATGTTCAAAACACTAGAAAAACTAGGGATAACAGGAAGATATATCAACATTGTGCAGGCTATCTATGCTAAGCCTCAGGCCAACACCATTCTAAACAGAGAAAAATTGAAGGGATTCCCTCTAAAATCTGGAGCAAGACAGGGATGCTCTTTCTTACCACTTGTATTCAACATAGTTCTTGAAAAACTGGTCAGAGAAATTAGACAGAGGAAAGAAAGTAAAGAAATGAGTATAGGAAAATAAAAACTTAAACTAGCACTACTTAATGACAATATGATTCTATACCCAGAAGACCCCAAAACTTCACCAGAAAACTTCTAGAACTAGTAAATAAATTCATCAAAGTACTGAGATATAAAAATATCAACATCTATAATCAAACGCATTTCTGTATTTCAGTGACAAATCCTCTGAGAAGGAAATGAGGAAAACTACCCCATTCACAATATACTCAAAAATAATAAGATACTTGGGAATCAACTTAACAAAAGAGATGAAAGATCTATATAATGAAAACAACAAAACCCTAAAGCTAGAAATAAAAGAAGACCTTAGAAGATGGAAGGATCTACCTTGCTTTTGGATAGGCAGAATTAATATTATCAAAATGACCATACTACCAAAAGCACTTTTGGGATTTTGATCAAAATGCAATTTTGATCAAATTCCCAATAGCATTCCTCATAGAAACAGAAAAAGTGTTCATGAAATCCATCTATAAAAATAAGAGACCCAGAATAGCTAAAGCAATTCTAAGCAGGAAGAGTGAGGCAGGAGGTATTGCTATACCAGACCTTAAACTATACTACAGAGTAATAGTTAAAAAACCAGCATGGTATTGGCACCAAAACAGGCTGGTAGATTAATGGTACAGAATAGAGGACACAGAGACTAATCCACAAAATTACAATTACATTAGACAAAGGTGCCAAAAATATGCACTGGAGAAAAAATAGTATCTTCAACAAATAGTGTTGGGAAAACTGGAAATCCATATGCAACAAAGTAAAATTGATCTCCTATCTCTCACCATACACAAAAGTTAACTCAAAATGGATCAAAGACCTAGGAATTAAACCAGAGAATCTGCATCTAATAGAAGAAAAAGTAGGCCCTCAACTTCATCATGTGGGATTATGTCCCAACTTCCTCAAGAAGACTCCTATGGCACAAGCATTGAAAACAAGAATCAATAAATGGGATGGACTCAAACTAAAAAGTTTTTTTCCCAGCCAAAAAAAAAAATTGTGAGGTGAATAGAGAGTCTACATCCTGGGAGCAAATTTTTACCCCTCACATATCAGATAGAGCACTAATCTCTAGGGTATATAAAGAACTCAAGAAGCTAAGCACCAAAAAACAAATAGCCCAATCAACAAATGTGCTGGGGACCTGAATAGAGACTTCTCAGAAGAGGATATAAAATCAATCAACAAATATATAAAAATTTTCATCATCTCTAGCAATCAGAGAAATGCATATAAAAACCACTCTAATATATCATCTCACTCCAGTCAGAATGGCAGCTATGAAGACAAACAATAAAAAGTGTTGATGAGGATGTGGGGAAAAAAAAGGTATACTCATACAATGCTGGTGGGATTGCAAATTGGTGCAGCCAATTTGAAAAGCAATATGGAGATTACTTGGAAATCTGGGAATAGAACCACCATTTGACTAAGCTATTTCTCTTGGACTACACCCAAAGGACTTAAAAATCAGCATATTATATGGACACACCACATCAAAGTTTATAGCAGAACAATTCACAATAGCTAAACTGTGGAGCCAATCTAGATGTCCTTCAGTGGATGAATGGATAAAAAATGTAGCATTTATACACAATGGAATATTACTCAGCATTAAAAAAGAACAAAATAATGGCATTTGCAGGTAAATGGATGGGATTGGAGAAGATAATGCTAAGTGAAGTCAGCATTGAAGTCAAAAACAAATGCCGGATGTTTTCTCAGATAAAAGGGGGTGACTCATAGTCAGGTAGGGATTGAGAACATGGGATGATTAGATTAATTCTAGATAGGGAAGAGGGGTATGGGGAAAGATAGAGGGAAGGGGATTAGCAAGGATGGTGCAATGTGATGGTCATCATTATATAAAGTACATGTATGAAGGCTTGAATTGGGTGTCAACATACCTTATATACAGAGATATGAAAAATTGTGGTATGCACAAAAGTTAACACAAAATGGATCAAGGAGCTTGATATCAAATCAGAGACTCTGCGTCTGATAGAAGAAAAAGTTGGCTCTGATTTACATATTGTGGGGTCGGGCTCCAAATTCCTTAATAGGACACCCATAGCACAAGAGTTAATAACAAGAATCAACAAATGGGACTTACTTAAACTAAAAAGTTTTTTCTCAGCAAGAGAAACAATAAGAGAGGTAAATAGGGAGCCTACATCATGGGAACAGATTTTTACTCCTTACACTTCAGATAGAGCCCTAATATCCAGAGTATACAAAGAACTCAAAAAATTAAACAATAAGATAACAAATAACCCTATCAAGAAATGGGCCAAGGACCTGAACAGACACTTCTCAGAGGAGGACATACAATCAATCAACAAGTACATGAAAAATGCTCACCATCTCTAGCAGTCAGATAAATGCAAATCAAAACCACCCTAAGATACCATCTCACTTCAGCAAGATTGTAAGCCACTATGAAGTCAAACAACAACAAGTGCTGGCGAGGATGTGGAGAAAAGGGTACACTTGTACATTGCTGGTGGAACTGCAAATTGGTGCGGCCAATTTGGAAAGCAGTATGGAGATTCCTTGGAAAGCTGGGAATGGAACCACCATCTGACCCAGCTATTCCCCTTCTTGGACTACTTCCTAAAGACCTTAAAAAAGCATATTATAGGGATACTGCTACAATGATATTCATAGCAGCACAATTCACAATAGCTAGACTGTGGAAACAACCTAGATGCCCTTCAATACATGAATGCATAAAAAAATGTGGCATTTATACACAATGGAGTATTACTCTGCACTAAAAAATGACAAAATTATGGAATTTGCAGGGAAATGGATGGCACTAGAGCAGATTATGCTAAATGAAGCTAGCCAATCCCTAAAAAACAAATGCCAAATGTCATCTTTGATATAAGAAGAGCAACTAAGAACAGAATAGGGAGGAAGAACATGAGAAGAAGATCACCATTAAACAGCCACAAGAAGGGGGAGGGAAAGAGAGAAGGGAAATTGCATGGTAAAGGAAGGAGACCCTCACTGTTAATCAAAATTGCATATAAGAGGAAGTGAGGGAAAAGGGGAAAAAAACAAGAGAGAGAAATGAATTACAGCAGATGGGGTAGAGAGAGAAGATGGGAGGGGAGGAGTGGGGAGGGGAAGGGGGATAGTAGAGGGTAGGAAGGGCATCAGAATACAACAGACACTAGTATGGCAGTATGTAAAAATGTGGATGTGTTACCAATGTGAATCTGCAATATGTATACAAGGTAAAAATGGGAGTTCATAATCTGCTTGAATCAAATGTATGAAATATGATATGTCAAGAGCTTTGTAATGTTTTGAACAACTAATAATAAAAAAAGAAAAAAAATTGTGGTATATATGTGTATTAACAATTGTAATGCAAACAAAAAAGTACATGTATAATGGCATAAATTGACATGAATATACTTTATATACAGAGATACAAAAAATGTGCTCTATATGTGCAATAAGAATTGTAGTGCATTCCAATGTTGTTGTGTATTTTAAAAATAATAAAATCATTTTTTTAAAAAAGAAGACACTGTCCTAAAATCATGCTACTGTGAATTACTTTGAAGAGAGTGGACAAGAGGCTGCAAAACGAAGCAAGAAGTTTCAGCTGGACCTATAATGAAAGGTTGCAGAAAAATCCAGAGACCAGGCCTGAGCAAAGCTGCATAGTGTTTGCTCTCCTAACAGATGGTAAAGGGGTTCTTGTCTTACTTCCCCATGAGCTTGAAGCACTGTGAGAGATCTGAGGCTACTGTCATAAGACTGACAGAAATAGTCAGCCTCATCCTCAGGCTGTAGCCTAGTGATGGTCAGTGAACCAGAGTTGCCAGACCTGGAGCCAGAGAAGCGATCAGAGACCCCTGAGTGTCGATTACTATCACCATAGATGAGGAGTTTGGGGGCCGTTTCTGGGAGCTGCTGATACCAGCTCACACCAAAGATACCAATGTTGTTGTTATTTCCAGAGCAGGAGATGGTGACTGTCTGTCCAGGATTCCCAGACAATGAGGGCTGCTGAGTCAGCACAGACTGGGCCCAGGACCCTGGAAGTTAGAAAAACACGGAGAGCATAAGTTTTGTCTAGAAACAAGAGTAGAGTCAGGATCCATATCAGAGGACTCCCACACCCTATCCCTCCTTCATATCATGTCACCTGTGCACTGAACAAGGAATGTGAAGAGGAGACAGGACCAGGCCATCGTGAAGGTCATCCTGAGCTCTGCCTTCTGTTCACAATGCTGACCAGAGTTTCCCCCAAGTCTCTCCCTTGCCCTTTTCATACTCTGAGAAGGGGAGGATCTATCTATGCAAATTAGATTCTCCTTGTTTTCTGACTGCATCCTGGGTCTTGGTTCAGCTTCCTTTACATAAAGATGCCAAGTGGGTATGCAGGGGTGGATTTGGGTTGGTTTAGGGGTGTGGAAGTTCACAGTTGTGAGGCCTAACAAGAGAGAATCAGACAGGACCAGGTGGTTCATTAGAGTTCTGGTTACTTCCTTACCCCTCTTGACTGGTCTGCAGTGCCCCCTGTTGTCCAATCCCATACACATCATCATAGAACATTGTGATCAGAACCCCTGAGACAGTCCTACAATTCCACTGCACCCCACTGCCTCTGCCTAGTGGTCAAGCCAGTTAGCCCCTTCTGTGGCCTCCTTATTACCTCAGGATGGCCTCTTGCTTTCCCCTGACTCCACATTGTGTATTTATGCATACTTCACTTGACTCTTTCCTGGACAGGACTAAGATGGTGTTTTTGATATTAATTCTTCTTAGATCAAAATGAAGCAGGTGAACATAAAAACTATGGTTTTACTAGCTTGCAGGGTAGCATCTAGTTTATTATACACAACACAAATCTTTGTTCCAAAGGTTCTATCAACTAGTACTTGGTGAGAAACTCAGTTTCAAAATCTTATGATTAGCCTTTTGATGCCATTTAGAAAATATTAGTATGCATGTTTCTAAGCTTTCACAGTTCACATGTTTGTAACCCTTATTGTTAACAAGTGATACTGAGAGTGGTGATTATGAGTCCATCACAGCCATATAGCTTCAGCCACCATTGTCTACATGGAATGCCATGGGGACTGTAGATCCTGAAAGTACTCAGACAGCAGAACTCATTAATGTTTTCAAACATGGATGGAAATGCACTGTTTTAGGCAATGGCAGGGATGGAGCCTTTTGTTCAAAAGATCTTAGTGTTTTTCACAAGAGTTCCCATGGTTATAGCTGAGATATTAATCATATTCTGAATTTTTAAAACCTTTTATTTTAATTGTTCTTATTAGTTTTAGATGTCAAGAGATTGTAATTTGACATATTTCACAAGTGAATTCTAACTTCTCATTCTTCTGGTTGTATATGATGTAGAATTACATTTGTTATATTTATATGTGCACATAGGAAAATGTGTCTGATTTATTCCACTATCTTTTCTATTCCTATCCTTCCTCCCTTCACTTCATTACCCTCTGTCTAATCCAAAGTATTTCTATTCATAACTTAAGCTCTGCCCTTATTTGAGTTAGCACCCACTTTTCAGAGAGAACATGCAGCCTTTGGTTTGGGGAATTGGCTCTTTTCACTTAGCATGATAGTCTCCAGATTTATTCATTTACTGGTAAATACCATAATTTCATTGCTCTTTATAGCTAGCTAATATTCCATTGTGTGTACATACCACATTTTCTTTATCCATTTATCTGGCTGGTTCCATAGTTTAGCTCTTGTGAATTTAACTGGTATAAATATTGATGTCAGTGCATCATTGTAATATGCCGACTTTAATATCTTTGGGTATAAACCAAGAAGTGTGGTAACTGGATCAAATGGTGATTACTTTCTAAGGTTTCTGAGGAATCTCCCATACTGATTTCTAGAGTGGTTGTACCAATTTGCAGTTCCACCAGTAATGTATGATTATACCTTTTTTCCCTACATCCTTGGCAACATTTATTGTTGCCTGTATTCTTAATAATTTGCATTGTAACTGGCATGAGATGAAATCTCACTGTAGTTTTAATTTTCTTTCTCTAAATGCTAGAGATTTTGAATGTTTTTTCATAATTTTGACACTTCCAGATCCAAGATAGGCAACAATTTTCATTCTAGGTCCTAGAAACTCTCATACTTTTAAGAACATAACTCACTTCATAGTAGGTTGGAATTTTTTATGTCCAGCACAATTTGTAATTAAGTACATACAGAATTAAAATCAAGCAATTATAATTATTTCTGTGATAAGATAAATTGTGTACATTTAGAATCTAATACTTGTTACTTTTATGAATAAACATATAGATTAAAAATACAGTCTACATTTCCTGATTAATAGATTATTTTAAAATAAGTTATACATGAAATATGTGCATTATAAATTCACTCAAATTTTTTAAAATTTAAAACATTAAATTTTAATCCATCTTTCTTTCTTCATTCCTTCCTTCCTTTTTTTCTTCCTTCCTTTCTTCCTTCCTTCCTTCCTTCTTGTCTCTACCTGTTAGGAATAGGCACTGTTAGCCCCTTTGTGAATTTTTGTAGTTTGAATAAAAATTCACTTTTTCGTGTTCATATAGAACTATGTGAAGTGCAATGACTGTTAATGTCCTGCAGATTCTTTCTTTCCACAGGACAACTCCACTTGCCTTCAATTCAGAAAAAAACAAGGCCAAAAAAAAAATCATCTCTACTGCAGATTCTGCTCTTCTTGATAAGTGTACTCAAATCCGACAGCACATATAGAGTTTTATCTTGATTATCCTCTTCTCTAATATTATCTCCAAACATGAACCCATATATTTAAACTCTACATCAATCAATATGAAACAAATTATATAAAATGAGCAATACTTCAGAAAGAAAATTGCAGATACAAAATAAACATAAGATATCAGAACTGCAAATCCCACCATTCTGGAAAGACATATTGAGATTCCTCAGAAAACATGAAATGGAATCACCATTTGACTCAGCTATCCCACTATCAGATTATACACAAGCACTTAAAATTATACAACAAGCAATTAAAATAAACACACTACAATGATGCAGCCATATTAATGTTCATAGTAGCTCAATTCACAGTAGCCAAACTTTGGAACCAACCTAGATTCCATTCAACAGATGAATCAATAAAGAAAATGTGGTATACATACAAAATGGAATATTACTCAGCCATAATGAGTAATAAAATTATGCCATTTGTGGATAAATGCATGAAACTTGAGACTATCATGCTAAGTGTAATAATCCAAACCTCAAACCCCAAGTATGAGTGTTATCTCTGATCTGTAGGTGTTAACCCATACCAAGGGAGTGTAGGGAGGGTTAATATAGAAGTACTTCAGATTATAAAAAGTGAAATGAAGTGAAGGGAGGAGGATAAGAATAAGAATGACAATAGAATGAATCAGATATATCTTCTCTATGTTCATTTATATACAAACACATATAATGGCCAGTGGAACTCCACATCATGTTCTACCACAAGAAAGTTATCAAAATTGTAATAGATTGCACCCAATGAATATATAATATGTTAAATATACTCTAACATTATGTATATCTAATAAAAAAATAAAAAAATAAAAATGAGCACATGAAATAATACTAAATCTAATATATCTTTAGACTGTTCATATTAAAATAGCAATAAAAGGTGCTACAAATTTATCAATTGGTTTGAATATTCCACAAAGGCAATGAAGTGAAAATAAACATATACAGAAAGAGTATGTTCATTGTGAATCCAGGTGCCCGAAGGTCATGTGGAAATCAAAAAGAATGATGACTTATATTCAGCTGGCATAAGCTCACCCATTCACTAAAGCCAATCTGTGGAATACTGTCTAGATGCATGAATACACTGGTTATTTATAAAGAGAATAAACCACTTCAGTGAAGATATTAATCTATCATTATAATCCCTTTTTAAATTAATTTTAACACAAGTGCAGGATCTAAGATTACTGACCAGAAGCACTATAAATACAGATTATTATTTCAATCAGGCTTGATATTATGATAAAAATAGAATAAATCAATTATAATTGTGTTCTAAGGATTTGGAATATTGAACTATGAAATATGCATAGTTTAAAGTTAAAATAAATTTTGTTATAAATTGAGTTATAATGATATTATGGGTTATCATCTTGATGGATTTCAACTTCTTTGCCATACCTCCTTTACTGCTTTTAATTGATAATATTATTATTTTTAGTATTAGTATAACTTTTTGTAACATGTACAGTTTCTATGAGCATTGTGTAATGGGAGAGAATTGTGGTGTGCCACTAACGTCAACCAGACTCTAGTGTCTTATTTTATAAACATTGAGGGTCTTTACTGCCACAGTAAATTGACATAAACTTGGATCCTCTACAATTGAGGGTCTTCTCTTACTTGCTTATCTGGTGGTTTCGCTGTCATAAGTATTAATTTTATAAACAGGAGAGTAATCATTGTACATATCCTCAAATTGAAGCCCAGAGATTTACAAATACACTTCATTGGTTGAGACATCTTTGTATCCAGAAATTCAATTGGGGAATTTGGGCCTCAGCTGTTTCTCTGAGTCTGAGTAGAATGGCTCAGATACAAGTCCTGATAGTACCAGTACATGTTTTACATTTTTTTTAACAATAGTAGGTTCCTATTTACTATTCAGTGCAGGTGAGTCTGGTTATTGATCCAGGCATGCATAGAAGGGGAGTGGCCATGTCAGTATAGGAAAAGAGAGGGAATCACAGAAACAACAGAGTGAAGGGAAGAGGTAGGGAGAAGTGACTTGGGTATTTGATGAATAGGATAATGACTCACATTAGGGGCCTGCCCTAGGCCTCTGAGGCCTGTACCTCCCTGTACCTCTCTCTCAATAGAGAGAAGTAGAAGGAGGAAATGAGTCTAGGCCATGGTGGATGCAACCCTTTCATAGGCCTAACTCTGCCTATTAAGGGCTGCTCATGAAATGGATCACTACACCTTGTCACTACCCCTTGTGTACTTGCAGTGTCTGGGTCCCTGACTAAGGGAGGGTGGCATGATGAAGAAGCTTAGTTAATAATTGGGGCTTAGGAGAAAACAAATTCAGAGGCCACACAATGCACATGGGACTCTGTACATCTGTACATCTCTTTAGGTTCCTAAGGTGACTTCTGTATTAACCAGAACATGTTCAACCAGTCTGTGCCCATCATTATATCTCATATTAGAGCTA